GAGTAGCCCGAGGAAAACCTCACGGTGCTATTTTACCTGCTTGTTACAACTGTTGCAAGTCACAACGCATTCATTTATTATGAATTCCAAAAACACATAATGAATTAACTTTGCAAAAACCACAATTTAACAATGTTTGGTTAAAAGACAGAGCATTGGCTGTGTGTCTCCTGTCAACCATATGCCCAAAACACCTCTGAGGGTAGAGTTGTGGGGTGGTGGCAGGAAAATCTTTAGAGCAGAACACTAGTGAGTGCTTTATCAGTAGGCTGTGACAAAGTGAGGTTATGTGCCAACTCCACTTCCTGCACATGATGCCTGGATACACTGAGTAAAATCCCTCTCACTGGTTGACTCTTCAAACTCTCCTAGGATTGGACAAAATTCAGTAAATGCCCTTGCATCTAATCTGCATCACACGATATGACATTATATGGCTGTGTCACACGTGTTCCGGAAATTTCCATTTCAGGCTATTTTTAGCTGAAGCTTAATACACCACTAGAGAAAATGTCCATCACTATACCAGACTACTGTGCATGCATGCACACATTCCTGAAGTGATACACTAGTACATACATGTAACAATCAACGCATGCCCTCACAGCATAAAATTAATTAATGTCACGGGGTATAAATAATTTTATCTTTTATGGATAAAATACATTATTCATGTCTGCTACAGCAGCCTTTTGCAACACATTGGAAAGGTTTATAAAAAAAATCCATCATGAGCTTCTTCCATGCTTGTAAAAACATCTTTATATTCAACTTACCATTTTAAAAGTATTTTCGCACCCTTCTATACAATACAAATTTAAAAATGCATATATACATGTATTTGAGCAAAAGTGTAATACCACTCAAGAAATTAACAATACAGCTGCATTACTATTTCATGTCATTGGCCAGAAATATGGACATCAGTCTTAAATTTCCTTGTCTTTGATGATTTGTTGTTTATTAATTTAAATGACAATGGAGTCAGCGACCAATGGCATTTTCATGCGTAAGTTGGGGACAGAAAACAAATAAGTAGCCTCTTCCAGACAGACACAGAGCTCCCATGAGGAGGGTGGTGAGACGAAATATGGAGGGGAGGGGGTCTTATACCCGCTCCACCCTCTATCATCAAAACTTCGGAAGTTCGGTAGTTCAGAGCAACTTTGTGGTTGAAGTGTCCCCCCCCACCACCTCATACCCTGTATTATATTTATTCCACATCTGTTGACACCAGGGGTGAGTTGGAGCGAGCTACTCATGTTAACACGAGTATACCCCTGAGCACTTGGACGCTGGAGTACGACCCGCGGGTCAGCGAGAGTATACTATCGCTAGAGGTGGAGTACATTCCTGCACCCCAGTGTAATGCACAGGCATCCTATTCATGTTAACAGGAGTAACCATGCAAACACACCCCAGATGTGGCTACAGGTCTGTTCGACGACCCATTTAATGTGTAGTGAAGCTTTCATGGATGAAACATGGTTATCACCAATTTACTACCATGACAAACGCATGAAATGTTACTGCTACATACGTAACTCAGAAGCATATCGATGCAGTAAATGGTTGTACATGTATTACGTACAGCATATCCACAGTCATTTAACAGCCATTTAACAGTATTCCTTAGTAGTCACTGAAAAATATGTACATGTGTATAGACACAGATTTGTCATGACAAATGAAAATAGGTCAAACGTTGAAAATTTCCTCAGTTTCCCACTCAACTGCTATGGGCAGGGAACAACAATCTTATTGATACTTCAGCAAATTCAATACACTTATATTTATGGCACTCTAAGAGACAGATTTTATTCACTTTCAGTGTAGACCTTCAGGCATAATACATAAATCTCTTTTGGCTGTAATTATTCTCACATGTATTTTTGGCAGTGAAACCAAGGATTCCTTAAAAGCACTCTAGGCATTGTATCTTGTGAGTCAGGAGAACTCTGTAAAGAGGAAACAGTGTCAAGTAGTTGTTCAGAGGGAAACACAAGGGGTTTTTTGGTAAAACCACAGGGTGTCAGATAGGGACTGAAGACCCCATCCACCTCAACCTGGATGAGATTTGATCCCAGACCACAAACTCCGCGATGAAAGGCAAGGAAAGTGCCACGCTTGTAAAGTTATTTTTTATAATGCTGATAACAGTTTTCTCAACTAATAACAACATGCACTTATCTGGGATTCCATTAAGATGCCATATACATTTTAATTATCCTAGCTCACTGGGTCCATAAATATTCCCATAACCATTGTAGCTCCCTAGGGAGTACACAGATTCACGCTGCCATTCCTGGCACAAACAGCTAATCAAACACAACAACCTTCTCTGCCCTCATAGGTACCCATTAATACTCGTGGGTGGAGAGCGTTAAGTTGGAGTTACGTGACTTGCCTAAGGTCACAATGCAACTACATGTAGCAGCTCGATTCCAACCCCTGATCCCATGTTTGTGAATCACAAACCCTTCAGCCACAAGCCACATGCTTTTATGAGGGGGAGTGCAGGAACCGAAAGTGTGGCCAACTTATTTCTTATAGGCAAATATTGCCTGACAGGTTTTCTCCGTCTGACCATCAGTACAGACCATGTCTTCCATGGTCACGTCGGACAGTTCAGCCCTTCGGAGGGCCTCCATGTAGGGCTCCGGTTCCCAGTTTGCCCCAGGGAGGTAGCCTTGTGCCGCAGATCTTCTCACAAGCTCCAGAGGCAAGACAGTCACCATGAATCCCCCTGGTTTCAGGACGCAATGCAGCTCTCTGGCGACCTTGGCCTGGTCTGGCCAAAAGTAGTAGCAGTTGCAGTGGAAAATGCGGTCCATGCTGGTGTCCGGATATGGCAGGCTGGCAGCATCGCCCAGGTCAACCTGTACTTTCCCGCTTGCAATCTCAGAGTCCAGGTAGCCTTGAGCCTCCTTCACCATTTCCTCAGAGTAGTCGATGCCGTAGACCTTACCTTGTATTCCAAAGACAAAACAACATGAACATGTTCAAATCAGGATGCCAATTTGCGATATTTTTTACGACCAAGGAATTTTTTGCAACGGAGTTGCGCATCTCGTCTTGATTCACTTAATGTAACACACAGAGCAAGACAAGTTTTTGACAACTGAATACCACACTTGTGATGTTGTCTAGGTAAAAATGAGGGTTGTTGAAACCTTCCAGCTAGAACTATAGGCTTAATGCAGCACAGTGCATTTGGCAGCTTAGGGTAACCATACGAAGGTAATTATGACACGTATGACAATGCTATACCATACACTTTAGACTCACATTAGACTTTCTCATACACTGCATGAACATGAACAAAAGAGCGTTCAACTCCTGAACGAATGGAAGATACAGAATGCATGTACACGCACGCCGTGAAGATGCTGAGATGGATATACATTAGATATGGCCAGGAGAACTCATAGTCCAAGAACAATGTGGCATGTGGTTCCTTCTGAACATTCCAGAAAACTAGACTCTACTCCAGTGATGTTACACAGGTTTAAAAGAATGGAAAAAAAACAACAAATACAAACCAACGGTTCATGGTTATCAGGCATACACATACATGTACTCATGTATATCTGGTATTGTTCGTTTCTTTCCTGACATGGGCTCATGTCAATGGGGTCACCTTTCTCTCTTAGTAGTAAATTGTGAGAGACTTACATGTAGTCTACCAACATGCCCTCCCTATGCACACACACAGGCTCATTTAGGATAACATTAACAGAGTTCCCATTATCCTTCTCATGGCTCTGATAACTCTGAATTGATTTGCAGGTACTGTCAAACAGAGGACACCAAGGCAAATCATGAATAGCGTGAAAACTATTATTCCGCTCTAGCAATGAGGCTCGTTTCACAGCACTTCATGTGCACCGTGAATATTCGCCCACAGCTTTAGCCCTTACCATCGACAATAGCTTCAGCAGCTGCCTTTAGGCCAACTCCTGGTCCAAAGCCCACCTCCAGAACGTGATGATGTGGCTCAAGACGGCAAAGTCGCACAGCATTCCGCTCCATGTACGCATTCTGCTGTTTAAAAACCTTCTATTGCAAAGGGAAAAAAATTGTCCCATATTTAATAACCATGAACTGACTTCGAACATGTGTAAGTACTTTATTTTTGTACAATATATAATGTCTGGGTTTGATGTGCCGTCAGGCAAAATCGTGCGTATAAGGTAAGTAGCAATGTAGTCCTTGTCTGAGTCCCAGACATTAAATAACATTGAAAAAGTACATATCATGTACACTTGAGATCAAACATAGACAAACTAGCCTCGTATTCACACGTGAGCCTTGACTTTAATTTCAGTTTCACGCATGAACAGAAAACGGTACTTAGTTGCCTTGTAATTACATCCCTCAGGGTTAACATATTACAGGCCAACATTTGAATCATGCACTTGGCAAAGAGTACAGGGGTAATTCATGACCCTACATAGCAAACCATGTCACAAGTCGCCATGTGACAAGTCACCAGAGCTACTTTGGAGTTAAAGGCCTTCTAGAAAATCTGGGACAATGTAGATCTGAAGGGCCCTGCAGCATGTTTCACCCACACGATATCCATCTCCATTCTGAAAGCACTGCGTAATACATCAAGTATTAAAGAGCTCACTTTACCCTAACGCAGACTCTTTGACAGAGTTATTGAGGTAAAATGGCCTTCACACTTCTCACCTGAATGTGTGGGCACCAGGCGTACATGGAATCGTCTCTTGGATACCAGGCAAATTGCGACAACAGCATGTATGTCATCAACCAAGCCTCTTTCTTCATTATCAGGGTAAGGGAGGTTGATTAAGTTTGCATGCCACGTCAGATGTGATATCAAGGGCTAATTTTGCAGAGCTTATTCTTGGCAGAAGGTGCTAAGCGCAGCAAATGTATGCTCAGCAAAACGGCATAGGATTTTTAACACTGATCAAAGCTTTCTTGCCACGTCAACATAACCAGCTGCCAAAAGGCCATACCATAGCAGAGCTTGCAACAGCTTTTCATTTTGCCTTCCAAAAATTGTCCAGAACAACATTTGCAAAATGCAATATTTTCACTTGCTACAATTACAAACCTTTATAACCATGCGAGCAACAAAGCCTGTAGAAGGGTTTCGAAGGTTCCTGGCAATGGAATTTTTCAGTCCCATTATGCAGAATCACCGAGGCTCTCACTTTGTGACTTCTCTTCTCAACGATTGGCTCAGTTGAGCTACATGCTACCTACTTTTAGTAGTTTCAACAGTCAAGCAACACCTAAATGGGAAAGGTACATTCAGCGATTGTAATATATTTGTTTCAACTTGGCATAATGCTGGGCCCTTTTCTGTTTCAACTGTGAGCTCAGTCTCTAATTTTGGTTGAATTTGAACTCCAGTTGGTTCAAACATTTACTCTTCTCTTGTGACAAAATATAAAAGACTCTAATCTCTGGGCCAAAATTTGCCAACCTGATGCTTCTACACCAAGGAACAGAGCTATGTTCCATCAAACCAACTCAATTCAAGGGACTAAATTCCCTAATAAACGGCAACACTATTTTTGCCCCTTTGAGTTTCGAGGGTGAAATATGAAACATCCACCAATTGATCAATCAGAGAGAAGAATCAACAATCAGTGACGTCATCCCGACCGCGAGAATAGATAGAGCAAGGACAGAGATGACGAAGAACAAACCCCACACTGGCCACAGTTCTAACCTACGGGTAGTGATGCCCTTGAATGGATAATGGAGCTAAATCAGAGAATTATAGAACAATATGAAAGGCCACAATGAATTACGTGGCTTCGGCAAGAAATAAGAACGGTTGTGGGAGTAAGATCGAGATGAGGAAAAGACTCAAATTTTTGAGGGAGGCCCTCAAGCAATAGCTGACAAGTGCATGTATGTAGGAAGTAGGCTGCTGACATAACTGGTGTTCCACAACAAGCACAAGGGTACACCCCATGCCCACTGAGCTCAGATAAGTTTCTGTGCACATACATGTAACGCTTTAAAACAAGATTTCCAGAAACTACACAATGCAGTTTCTTCACTTCTTCACTTCACGTTATTTTCCATGTAAAAATATAGCAATGGTACATATTTAGTTGATGGATGGAGACCCTCACGAAGCATTGCTTGTCGAGTGGAGGTTCCATAGACTCTTTTGACAACACTACAAGAACTACAAACATTATTACTAGTTAACTAAAAAAAATAACGTGCACAAATAAATTATACGCAAAAAGTAACATGTAGGCTGTAACCCTGTGGTATTTAATTGTTAGATGAACAGTAACTGGCAATTATTTGGTGTTTTTTATTTTAATGATCGACTCACAGTCTGTCATCGAAGCAATTCACACAAAAATGTTACTTCCCTTTGTGCCCAGGATCAGGAGTAGGCCCCTGGGCAGCTTTTCATACGTTCAACCACACATGCGACGCGTGTGTGAACATTCCAGCACAATTGCAGAATACCTCGCCACTCACCTTGCTCACCTTGTAGCCGCGGAGTCATGCTTCACAAGGCCCGCTTCGTATCCCCGTTTATGTATCCGTGAAGCCGCTCCCATCCCCGGGACCCACATTGGACTTACCAACCTCCCCGGCTAGCCTAGTGAGTTGTATGTACAATGTAAATTACTGTACATGTACATACATGTGTACATATGTATTTCAAGTGAGTGCTTCGTTCTCGAAGTAGGCAACACGTGCACTACGTGTACCTAGTACCTTGACGCAGCAAGGATAACCCGGAAGTTGAACAACCTTCATCGACTCGACTACGTAACCATGGAAATTTAGGGTATATTTTCGCGTGGCGGGGTTAATCCACTGATACCTATTACATGTATACAATAGAAATCAGTGGGTGAATATTGATCTACGTGGCTGGCAGCCTTTGAAATCTACGGTGGCCAGGACGTGCTACACAAGATATATTTATTGAAAGGGTGTGGTGCAGACAAGAAGCGCAACTCCATATCACTACGATAGGATCTTCTAACGGTTGCTTCTGTATATCTTTTATTGGGCGTACAGGAACAACGACAAGATTCTGGAAACACAGAAACAGAAAGGGGGGCTTAATTAGGAATCTAACTCGAATTGATAAGTTTCAAACCATTCACTTTCCCCAGTGACAAAGACTAACATAAAATTGCATTCCACTGGAATATATCAACTACACCCGATACAACTGAACTGCAGCTGAACCAGATCATGAAGCTATAACTAGAATTAGTGGGCTGGTCACGAATAAAACGAACAGAAGGCAGAGTGAAAATCGACTCGGAACCATTGACATGTGAGAAAATTAAGTCTAATTCGTCTACAGTGTATCGAATGTACAAACCAGGAATGCATTATACGGATAGCCAGACTGAAAGACATCTAGAAAATTGCAAGCAAATCTACACGTATTTCTACAGACCCGGCGATCGCCAGCCGGGGTAGTAGTGGCTGACTCCAGGGCAGGCACGAGGATCACGTGATGGCTAAACGAACCGTTCGCTCCACTGAGTAGACGTGTAAGCTAATCGAACGCATCTTACGTGAG